ATAATAAATCCAGTGATCAGGGCAAAGCAAATGCAGTGAACTTGAACAACCAGAGGGACCTTCTCATCATCATCAAAACCCAAGCCAACTTACTCTCCAGTAAACTCCTTAGCCATTTCAATGGCCGATTCACCATTCAAAGCCTTGCAATATAAATACATCACTGTATTCTCCGCCACAGTCAAAAGCATAAACAGAACCACAAAACTCGACTGAAGCAACAACGTCAACATGAAGTCCCAACTCCACAACCCACTATTCCTATATGTGATCATCGCCGGCAAATAATTCCCCAAAATCATGAACAAAATAGAAACTCCGCTCAACACAATCTGCAACGAAGTCCCTCTCATCCCCATCACCAACTGGGTACTTCGCCGTAACGGCTCAATCCCCCATTTTGATTCCACCACCGCAATTACACTGGTCAACACCCAGTTCAATTGCAACCAAATTAAGGTCGAGCCAAGAAGTATCACAACGAATATGCAAAACCCGATAAAACAATTCGACTTATAATCGATTTCAACCCCCAAAACCTGAAGCCCTTGATACAGTAACACAACGAAAAGGCCGCAAATGGTACATATCAGGGCTATAATTGCTTGTGAGGTCATTATTGTGGACGCAAGGGGTAGGAATGAGGAGGAGATTGATCTGATGGCGTGAATGAATCTGACGGGTCTGCCGTAGAATCCATGGAAGGTGCTGTAAGTGATCGTGGCTATGGCACAGACTGAGAAGAAGATGACAAATAAGGCGAACAGGAGAGGAAAAACCAGGGTTTCAGGGAGGAGATGGTTGAGGGTGGAAGTGGAAAAGCGGAAGAACTGGTCGTTGACGTCGTCGTTTTGGGAGAAGGTGAACTGAAGGATGCCGTAGATGACGGGAGAGGAAGAGAGGGGTAAGAGGAAGAGGAGAGAGAGAGCTAAGAAGTGGGGAGAGTGGGCACTGGTTATGCGTTTTGACTCGGAGAGTACTCCGCCACGGTTTGGGGTTTGTGAAAAGGTCGACATGGAAAAGAGAGATAGAGAGAGAGCAGTAGGTTTGGAACGAGCATGGGGGAAGAGAGAGAGAGAGACATAAATATATATATGGAGATTGATACTTTCTCAGGCGTGTTAATGGTGGTAAGCAGAGCATTTTTCTTCTTCTTTTTCTTTTTTTCAGTAAATTGCACAAATAGCACTAAAACTATTACGTTAATTAAATTCTTGAACCAATTTTTATATTAATTAAGTCACTAAACTCTAAAATTTTACCTATTAAGTCCTTCTGTCAACATTTTTTAACGATATATTTCACGTGCTCATCTTATGAACAACATCTTATGGACAACATATTAGAAGTATTTTGAATTATTCGTTTAAAATCTATCGGACGAAAAATCACATTTTTTACACTCATTAACCAAAAACCTAACTCCAAACTAAAACCTCTTTCATGTCCATTAAGCGAAACATATCAGCAAGTTATTCGATCTCGTATAAGAAACAATATACATAAATGTAAGCTCTTTGAAAAACTTATTAATCTACTTCGTTTAATGGGTATAAGGAATGGGTTTTCGTCTTATAGGTTTTGAACAAATAGTCAAAAATATCTCTAATTTGCTTGTCTATGTAGTGAGCGCATGAGATATTTCGTTCAAAAATCTAACGAATGTTTTCGGATTTGCTATTGATGTGATGATCATAGTTTAAAGGCCATTTCAACTAATCTGTTTTCGGATTTAGTCAAAGGAAGATTATCTACTTCAAAATTAAGATATTCATGACCTAACTCAAGAAATTGCTAATATTCAAACTCGAAACGCCTGAGATTAGAAGCCGTCTGTGTTATCATTTGAACAACTAATGAAGACTAGCCCACGAAGAATTTATTGAGGTCACATATCTGATTATGTTTATTAAAATAAGGATATATTCTTAATTGAAATTGGGCCGAATTGACATAAACACCCTGGTTGATCACTCAAGTGATGGCCANGAAGACTAGCCCACGAAGAATTTATTGAGGTCACATGTCTGATTATGTTTATTAAAATAAGGATATATTCTTCATTGAAATTGGGCCGAATTGACATAAACACCCTGGTTGATCACTCAAGTGATGGCCACATGAGTGGTCGGGTCCATTTATATCATTTGGACTGGAGAGGAACACAAGGGCCCAAGTGGAATGGAAATAAGAAAGTCCCAATAGCATTTTAATAAGCATAACATTTTCTTTATCCACAAGCTTTTTCCCATCCACTAGTCAAAAAAAGACTGAAAAAAGAGTAGATTACATAGCCAGAAGAACTGCAGAGCAAATGCAGTAAACAGGGCAAACCGATTTACCTCAAAGTCTATCAATATCAAGTTTGAACTTGAACAACCTGATGGACCTTCTCATCATCATTGAAAGGCAAGCTAACGTACCCTCCAGTGAACTCCTTAGCCATTTCAATGGCCGATTCACCATTCAAAGCCTTGCAATATATATACATCACTGTACTTTCCGCCACAGTCCAAAGCATAAGCACCACAATACTCGAATTAGGCAAAAACGTCAACATGAAGAAGCCCCAACTCCAGAACCCCCTACTCCTATACATCATCATCGCCGGCGAATAAATCTCCCAAATCATAGCCAAAATAAAAACTCCGCTCAACACAATCTGCAACGAAGTCCCTCTCATTCCCTTCGTCAGCTGAGTACTTCGCCGTAACGGCTCAATCCCCCATTTCGATTCCACAACCGCAATTACACTAGCCAATATCCAGTTCAATTGTAACCAAATTAAGGTCGACCCAAGTAGAATCGCAACGAATATGCAAATCCAGATAAAACAATTCGACTTATAATCGATTTCAACCCCCAAAACCTGAAGCCCTTGATACAGCAGAACAACGACGAGGCCGAAAATGGTACATATCAGGGCTATAATTGCTTGTGAGATCATCATTGTGGACGCAAGGGGTAGGAATGAGGAGGAGATTGATCTGATGGTGGGAACGAATCTGACGGGTCTGCCGTAGAATCCATGGAAGGTGCTGTAAGTGATCGTGGCTATGGCACAGACTGAGAAGAAGATGACGAAGAAGGTGAAGAGGAGAGGAAAAATCAGGGTTTCAGGGAGTAGATGATGGAGGGTGGAGGTGGAAAGGCGGAAGAACTGGTAGTTGACGTCGTTGTTTTGGGAGAAGGTGAACTGCACGATGCCGTAGATGACACGAGAGGAAGCGAGGGGCAAGAGAAAGAGGAGAGAGAGAGCTAAGAAGTGGGGAGAGTGGGCACTGGTTATGCGTTGTGATTCGGAGAGTACTCCAATGAGGTTTGGGGTTTGTGAAAAGGTCGACATGGTAGAGAGAGAGAGAGAGAGAGAAGCAGTAGGATTGGAATGAGCGTGTGGAGAAAAAGAGAGACTTTCTCAGGCGTGTTATTAGGGATGTCGGTGGCCAGCAGAGGGGCGGGGAAGTGCATTCTTCTTTTTTTTGCACCATTTAAAACAATTTCGTTCATCTATACTTCACTTTGTTAACGGATATAATTTCTATTCTCATTTTTGTTCACAAATAAATTTTTTATTCTTATTCTCGTTCCTGCTTCCTCGTACCTGCTTAAGCTTAAATTCAAGTCCAAGCCTAAGTCTAAACTCAAGTAACATAATTTAAAATTTTAAATAAATTTAATATTTTAAATAATCTAATTACATTCTAAATAATCTAGTTAATAATCTAGATTACAAATGTAAAAGTCAAAATAATATAATATTCTATTTAAAGTGTTATTGAACCACAAAAAGAAAAATTGAACTATTAGCGACAAAGGAAGAATAGGAAAATAAAATTGAACTAAGAAAACGATATCACTATACTTGAAGTTTCTTAGAAAAATTTTTGTTATTACAATTCATATTACAGTCATAAAGTGTTAAAAGATGAAAACTTAAATTTTGTTAATTCAATAATTCTCTCAATTTCTTAGTTCACTCTAGCAGAGAAATTCATCAACCTCCATTCACAATATTTTTACCCACAANTTAAATTTTGTTAATTCAATAATTTTTTCAATTTCTTAGTTCACTCTAGCAGAGAAATTCATCAACCTCCATTCACAATATTTTTACCCACAATGAAATGCAAAACTATTTTACTCTCTCTAATATGTTTTTAAAGTATGGTCAATCCAAACTCCTAACAGTTTCAATTAAGCACAAATAAAAAAAAGAACAATCAGGAAAAAAAGTTTATAAGATTGCCACATAACAATGTCACTTGTTAGTTTAATTACCATATTTCTAGATTGATAGTTACAGTAAATATGTTTAGTTAGGACTTGAAAGTAAAAAAATATATATATATATATATATAAAATGGGTAGTAGGGGCGGGGCGGGGGTAAATGTAAGTTTATCCTCGTCTTCATCCTCGTACGAGTTTATACGGGTATCCCTGTATACATCCACCGTCTAATACGTATAGTCCATTCTCGANGTCTATCCTCGTCTTCATCCTTGTACGGGTTTATACGGGTATCCCTGTATACATCCACCGTCTAATACGTATAGTCCATTCTCGATCCAAACGGAGTGGATTTAGACGAATACCCGTTTTTCTCCGGTCCATTGTCATCCCTACGTGTTAGTGAAGGTAAGCAAAACTTTCTTCTTCTTTTTTATTTTTTTGAGTAAATTACACACATATGGCATTTAAACTATTAACCTTATGGTAATTAAATTCTTGAATTAATNAATCCATTGTCATCCCTACGTGTTAGTGAAGGTAAGCAGAACTTTCTTCTTCTTTTTTATTTTTTTGAGTAAATTACACACATATGGCATTTAAACTATTAACCTTATGGTAATTAAATTCTTGAATTAATTGAGCTCCTAAACTCTAAATTTTTAACTATTAAGCCCTTTAATCAACATTTCTTAGATTTTTAGATGGAATGTGTCATGTGCTCACCTCATGGACAACATATTAAGACTATTTTAGACTTTTTATTGGAAAACTTATCAAACGAAGAACCTTATTTATTACACCATCAATCAAAAACTTAACCCTAAACCTAAACCTCTTTCATATCCATTAAATGAAGTAAATCTGCAAGTTCTTTGATCTAGTGTAAAAAATAAATTACATAAATGTAAGCTCTTTGGTTGATGGATAGAAAGAATGAAGTCTTTCGTTTGATAGGTTTTGAACAAACAATCTAAAATATTCCTAATTTGTTTGCCTATGTGGTGAATGTATGAGACATTTCGTTTAAAAATTTAACGGGTGCTAATAAAAGGGTTTAATTGCTAAAATTTGAGAGTTTAGGGACTTAATTGACACGAAATTTAGTTTAAGAGTTTAATTGATACGAAGGTCTAATGACCATTTATTTAGCTTACCCTTCTTCTTTTTTTTCAACAATCAATGTTTTTATATGTATCTCGACTAATTTTTTTTCTAAATTCGGTTAATATAAGATCATCACGTCAGGATTAGAGTATTCATGTCCTGATCTTAAGAAATTGTAAAAATTCGAATTCAAGATATTTGAGATTATAAGTCATTTTTGGTACCAATTGAACTTCTGATTGAGGGTAGACAATTTATTGAGATGACAAATATGGTCATCTTTATTAAAATAAGGATATATTCTTCATTGAAATTGGGCTGAATTGACATAAACACCCTGGTTAACCACTCAAGTGATGGCCATAATGGTTGGTTCCATTTATCNGATTGTAAAAATTCGAATTCAAGATACTTGAGATTATAAGTCATTTTTGGTACCATTTGAACTTCTGATTGAGGGTAGACAATTTATTGAGATGACAAATATGGTCATCTTTATTAAAATAAGGATATATTCTTCATTGAAATTGGGCTGAATTGACATAAACACCCTGGTTAACCACTCAAGTGATGGCCATAATGGTTGGTTCCATTTATCATTTGGACCGGAGAGGACCACAAGGGCCAAACTGGAATGGAAATAAGAAAGTGGAGGTGTAATTCTAGAGGCAAAATCATATTGCTTCATAAATATTGGGGCATAAAATATCTATACTCATTTGTTTGGGGGGTGGGGGTGAAACTGGCAATGCACTCGAATTTATACTCTTTTTTTTTCTTTTTCTTTTTCTTTTTTGCTGATACTCTTTTTTTTTCCTTTTCAAAGGGCCGCGTCAAATGGGATTTGGTAACAGTCTATATACGTTGGAATTAATTATAATCATGTGGAAAGTTTTTATGATTAATAAATCTAGAGGCGGTGTTAAACAACCAATATATATGTAAGATTAACACGTTGAATATCGGATTTTGTTTTAGTCTAATTGAAATTTAATTTGAAATTTTTTGTTATGTATTAGTGTTTACTAGAATTTTTCTCGTTGATTCTCTTTTTTATTTTATTTTTTTTATGGTCTTGAGGAATTTGCTTGACAATGAATTGTTCTTTTATTTTTTTTGCCAAAATAAAAAAGGTGAGGGAGCGATCAGTAGGTATTAATCCTTGGGCGTGATCATGAGAGTCTTTTGCACTCTGAAATGCGCAATTTGAGTCATAGTTATTAAATCAAAAAAGATAATCCGTCACCACAAAATTATAAAAATCAACCAACAAACTATATTATTTCCATAAATCAAATTTTACTTGATAATCTCGTAGGAGTCATCTATGACTTTAAACTGTACGACTTACTATTAAACCACCGCCTCGAGGGAAGCTTTATGAACTGTTCGAAAACATAAATAGCACAGAAAATGTATACATTGGTAGGGATGCCTCTGTTTGGGAAGTTGGATATATTTATGCTATAGTGCCCAAGGAACTTCTGACATTGACTGGTTTTTTTTCGTAGGCCGGAATAACTCTTGGTGAGCTGCGATATGTGGCGGACCTCTACGACTTCCACTCAATGGCCACCTTGTTCCTTGTCGGAGTTGTTACAGTCACCCCAACTTTGACGAACAGCAAGAGCAGATCATAGAATTTCATTAGCTCAAACATGTTGGGTTTTTCCAATCAACCATTTGGGTATTATTCGATTGTACAAGATTTGCTCAAATGGTGTTCGATAAAATAGGTTAGAAACTTAACAATCTCAATTCCATTTCAAACTCAAGTTATTCAAACACAGAAAATTTCTCGTGTTAAATAAAATTTGTTTCAAAATATCTTGAAATTTAGAAAAGGACAACGAAATTTCAGTATCTTTATTATCATCACTATAACTATGGTTATTACAGTGATTACATAACTGTCTAATTACGTAAAATTTTGATAGTGATAATGAGTAATGACAATACAAATTCACGTTATTATCTAATTCTATTAATTTTGAACAGTAACAATAGATAGTGATAGTAATAATTTAATATCATTGCAACTATCACTATCATGTGAAATTGTTACTGTTACGGTTACGGTTACTGTTATCGACCCAAAAAATTTGTAACTGTGTAGCGACCTTCAAAAATTCTTAAATTAATCGTTTTAAAATTTAGTTATTCATATTTAACGTAAATGTAAATAGACATAGGGATGAGCACCAACCCTATCTCCCATTCTGTGTCAGTTTCACATCATCAGCACGTGGTGGCGGGACCATGAATGATTATGATTTGCTGAAAACATTTAGATGGGTCCCACAAATGTGTGGTGGTGATGGCCTCAATGTGTCATTTCCACATCATCAGCACGTGGTGGTGGGACCATGTATTATTATGATTTGCGGAAAACATTTAGATGGGTCCCACAACGTGTGGTGGTGATTGCCTCAATGATTTTCCAAAATCTTATTGTTGGTCCTAATTATGGACTAGGGTTAACCGTGCTTTCAACCAATTAATTAAAAAAAGTGATAAATGAAAATATATTGGAATAATGACATAATCAAATATATGCTTTAGGGTAAGTAGACTTTAAATATAATAGATAAAAATAATGTGATATATTTACATCTTTTATATTCAATTTGATACTTAAAAATTTATTAAACATAAAAAAAGTTTATTTGAAAAAAATTAATAAGATAACATTTATACATTAAGGATTAATAATATAATTTATTTGATACAAATAAAAGCAATATTCTATAATTTTTAATTTTTTTATAAATTCTATATTTTACTCATTTTTTACTATATATTCTATAATTTTTGAACCAAACGAGACTTCAACAAATCATACTAAAGAATCAATTTTAGTTTGCTAATTTTAAGAGATTTGGTATGAACCTTTTGTTTTTGTTTTTTCGTTCTAGTACCCAACTTGTTTGATCCAATAAATTTTATTTTTCATAAATCATTACAGTGCGCCCAACTAATTTAAAAACATATATAATTAAAAAAAATTATTTTTTTCAGGGTGGCCTCAACCCCTCCTCCCTCCGCCATTGCTAGAGAAAGAGAGTGAAGAGTGAGAATAGGAAGGTAAAATTCAATATAAATAGTACTAAGAGAGATGTTGATGGCCGTTGAATGAGTTTATTTGAGACCTTCGGATGGATTTGTTGAACCCGCCCTGTTTTATATTATAGAATTCATAAAATATAATAGAATTGACTTTAAAAAAATATTAATTTATATATATGTAATCAAAATCGAATATTAATTTATATACATATAATCAAAATCGAGTCAAATTTAATACAAACTAAAAATTTAATTTATCAAAAAATATATCGCCAAAATATTTTCTATCAAAAAAAAATCTACAAATATTATTTATAAAATATATATTTTTAATTAGTACAAGTTATTACAAAATTATTAATTTCTAAGAATATATTAACGTTGTGTTTTCTTAAGAAATAAAAAAAAAATTGTCTTAAACTTTTGATTCAAGACATGTGTAAGGCATGTTAGTTTGAGATAGTTAATTAAATAAATAAAATTAAAATTAATTATATTCAATATAAATGTGTTAAGCAGCACCCTTATTTTTTTTTAATCTGTTAAATTGATGAATTTTTTTTGATCAAAATATTGTTATTGTCTCTTATACAAATTTAAAATATTACACTACACAGTTGATATCAATAGCGATAAATCTTGTAATTCAAGTCAACCGTAATTTTTGACTAGTTGGGAAGGAAAATATTAAAGAAAAAATGTTAATTTCTTGACCGTTGAATGAATAAATTTGAGACCGTAAGATGTATTCCAAGATCAGCCGTAATCGTTGATTGGTTGTGAGGGAAAATATTAAGGAAAAAAAATGGTAATTTCTTGACCGTTGGATGAATGAATTTGAGATCGTAGGATGAACTTGTAGAAGCCGCTCTATTTTTTATTTTAGATACAGATTTTGACGCAAATAAAAACAATATTCTATAATTTTTTTTTAATTACAAATTCCATATTTTTTTAAACCAAATGAGGCTTCAACAAATCATACCAATACTCTAAATAATCAATTTTAGCTTGCTAATTTTAAGAGATTGATATGAACTTTTTGTTTTTGTTTTTTTTTCTAGTACCCAACTTGTCTGACCTAATTAATTTTGTTTTTCATAAATCATTGTAGTGGGCCCAATTAATCCAAAAAAATATATAAAACTAATATAACTAAAAAAATATATATATTTTTTCAGGGTAGCCCTAGACTCTTCCTCCTCTGCCACTGTTAGAGAGAGAAAGTAAAGAGTGAGAAGAGGAAGGTAAAATTCAATATGAATGATTTTGAGAGAGACCTAAAAGTAGGTGTCAGGTGCCAATCATAGGCACTTGAGTGCCCGGGAATAGCCATTGGTGCTCGGCTTGTGTCAGGTACCTATCATCCTTGTAGTAAATGAATGAAGATCTTGGGGGAGAATATTCAGATCTTCTTGGGTAAAGGTGTCAGACATTGAATGTTCAGATGAAACTTAAAGTCTTTGCACTCATTGCTAATTCAGGTATCAATACTCCTCAGAAAAATGAACAAAGGTACGCAATATTGAACCAAAATACTTGATACATTGAGTTTGAGTCATCGATCTTATACTGACTTAAGCTTCGAAGAAGACAAGACAGGTGTTCACCTGACCCCCTTTTTCTGACCCTGTGACTATTGCAAATTTACTAGGCTGAAGATTGTTATCTCAAACTATTAAAGAAAATCTCCCGTGCAAAGGGTAGGAATGAGAAGGAGATTGATCTGATGGTGGGAATGAATATGACGGGTTTGCCGTAGAATCCATGGAAAGGTGTTGTAAGTGATCGTGGCTATGGCACAGATTGAGAAGAAGATAATGAAGAAGGCGAAGAGGAGAGGACAAATCAGGGTTTCAGGGAGGAGATGGTGAAGGGTGAAGGTGGAAAGGCAAAAGAATTGGTAGTTAACATCGTTGTTTTGGGAGAAGGTGAACTGAAGGATGCTATAGATGATGCGAGAGGAAGCGAAGGACAAGAGAAAGAGGAGAAAGAGAGCTCAGAAGTGGGGAGAGTGGGCATTGGTTGTGCGTTTTGTTTCGGAGAGTACTCCGTTGAGGTTTGGGGTTTGTGAAAAGGTCGACATGGTAGAAGGAGAGGGAGAGGGAGAGAGAGAGAGAAACATATGGAGATTGATACTTCTTCAGACGTGTTAGTGGCGGTAAGCAAATTTTACTTTCTTTTTTTTTTTGTTTTTGTTTTTGAGTAAATTACACAAATAACCCTTAAACTACAACTTTTATGTTAATTAACTCCTTCAACTAATTTTCGTGTCAATTATGGTCCTAAAATCTAAAATTTTAACAATTAAATCCCTAAACTAATTTTTGTGTCAATTAAATCATTAAATTCTAAAATTTTCTCAATTAAGCCTTTATGTAAGCATCCATTAGGTTTTTGGATGGAATGTCTCACATTCTCACCACGTGAACAATAGATTAGGCATATTTGAGACTATTCTTTTAAAACCTATTAGATGAAGAACCCCCATTTCTTACACCCATCAACCGAAACCCTAACCCTAAAGAATGGGGTTCTTCATCTGATAGATTTTCAAACAAAATAGTCTTCTTCAAATAGTTTGTTGATCTGTTTCGTTTGATAGGTATAAAATAAGTTTAGGTTTAATGGGTGTAATGAATAGAATTCTTTGTCTAATACATGTCGAACGAATAGTCTAAAATGCCCCTAATATAGTAAGTAATATATTGTGTTGTCCATGTGGTGGACATATGAGGCATTTCATCCAAAAACCTAACAAATGTTGACAAAATGACTTAATTGTTAAAATTTTAAAAAGTTTAAAGACTCAATTGACATGAAAATTAATTCAAAAACTTAATTGCTAAACTTTTCAAGTTTAGGGATTCAATTGATACGAATAATTGATATAAGAGTCATTTGTACAGTTTACTCTTCTTTTTTTCTATGGTCAAGGTTCTTATAAGCATCTCGAATAATCTTTTTTTAAGTCTAATCAAAGACAAATCATTTATGTTATGATTATGGTATTTATGGTCTGGCCTCAAAAGGAAGTCAATATTCAAACTCATGATATCTGAGTTTATAATTCGTACTTTTTACTATTCGAGCAACTCATTGAGACAAGACCATAAAAGATTTACTGAGATCAGGTTATGGTCATGTTTATTAAGATAATAATATATTCTTCATTGAGATTGAGCTGAATTGACATAAACACCCTGGTTGATCACTCAAGTGAAGAACCATAAAAAAGTGGAGGGTGTAATACGGTCAAAGTGTAATTCTAGTGGCAAAATCGTATTTCTTCATAAATATTGGGGCGTAAAATATCTATACTCATTTGTTTGGGGTTGTCAAGCGTGTGGAAAGTTTTTATGGTCAATAAGTCTAGAGGCCGTGTTAAACAATTAATATATGTGTATGATAGTATTTTAGTTATAACTTGGGAAATCGTGTTTGAAGATACGATATAATAAAAAAAAATTAAACATTTTATTTGAATACAAAATAATCAAATATTGAACTCGGACACGTACTACACTAAAAGCCTAAACTCGCCTTATATTATGTGTGTTCACGCACTATACAT